ACTGATCATTATATCCATGGGGAATGACAGCAGGGGACAGTCGGGCTGATGGATACTCGCTTTCATGGCTGGAGTGGTCATGTCTTGCCACACGAAGTCCAATCCCCAGTCTAACAGGTCGCGGTACTGCTCACCCCACCATTTCTGTGCATCAAGCCGTCCCAGATCAGGATAGTGTCCCCAGGTCAGATGACCACGCCCATAGTTCACGTTGCCAATGTATTCATCATGGGTGCCACTCCCATCTTCACGTGTGTTCATCACAAAGATGCCACTGGCTTTTCCAGTATCGAGTGCTTTGTACGGACTGTACTCACCATTTTCATCTGTGTTGCAGCTCACGATGGGCGTAATGTTGGTGCTACATTTATAACCCCAGTCGTGCAAGGCATCAAACATCTCTTTAGGATCAGGAAACTTCTTCTTACTGTGCGTGAAAGTGCGGTAGTTGTCCTGCAAATCCACATCCACGTGGAGCCCATCGATAGGAATCTTCCACTGCCGGTACTTGAGTGCCACTTCCAGTAGCTTCCACTTGGTGTTGTAGTTGGGGCCATACCCTCCTTGGTGGTAGCCAAACACGTACTTTGGTTTCGGCCTAGTGCGCCCGGTCAGCTGAGTGAATTCGTTTAGTACCTCAGCCACGTGTTTACCAGCAAAGAAGTAGTAATCAAGCTCCCCGTGTAGTGCTCCAAAGTAATACTGGTCTCCCTGGCGAAAATTCACGAATGTCTGCGAAGTATTATCGATCAGGATTCCGTTGGCGTACGAAGGACCAGCGAATGCTCCGACGGGTTCTGGATTGTGCTCGATAAAGAAGGGTGAAGACTGATATAATGGAGAATTAGGATTTAACGGGCCCTGAACCTCACCATCGGGTGTTAGATCTGGTGCAGTGTAGCCGAAGTTGTCATAGTTGAAAAATGTCATGGCAGCTCCAATCTTCTCGTCTCCCCCGGCGTATTGGCCATAGAAATGCTGTTTGGGAACGCGTCTCTTATCAAGTGTTGCACCCGCCTTCTCTCCAAATCCATAATACTGAGCATTGGTCGGCGCCATCTTGAATTGAGCGATAGCCTCGCCACCGTCATCGCGCTTAACATAGACCAGGCTGTAGTCTCCCGGATCGCCGTGAATCAACTGGCCACCGCGGTACACGGATAGCGCATATTTCTTCAAACTGACACGGACCTCGATCTTGTCGGTGCCTATCTTCAGAAATCCAGCTTGTTCCTTGACTTTGATGTCGGAATCCTCGATCCGTTCTACCTCTGTGGCAGGAGAGCGAGTCTTCACATACTGAGCTTTGGGATCAGGGTTGAACCGCACCCGAAACATAGCGTGGGACAGGAAATAGATGCAAACTTTAAGACCGCCTTCAAGGAAGAGGGTAAATTTATCTACCACTCCTTCTTCTTGTTGAGTCCACTTCGTTACTCTGCCCAAAGGGATCCAGTTAACTCTGGACTCTGGAGTGAACTCGTCCGCAGGAACATAGCGGTAATTTTCCATCTTGATAGCAGAAATAAGTTGTGTTTGATCTGAAACTAGTAAGTCAAGTACTCTGTTTTGAGCAAGAATTATCCTTAGAGTTTTGTTAGAATAATCATTAGAATATATTCAAGTTATGATTCACCTGCTAAGTTTTTTTAAACCCTTTAACTCCCAGAAGTGATCAACGTGTAACTTCTCGCTATATATTCATTAATGATCCAGCAAACAGGTAATGAGAATACTCAAACTTATTAGGTAGAAGTTGCTATCTTGATCCAACACCAAATTCTCGTAATTAATTTACAAGGAAATGTGTAGCAGTTAAATGAGAAAAGTAGCAATCAGATCTCAGCTATGCTTTGAGGTGAAAAAAAGAATTATGGTATCAACGGATTCATGAGTAATAAGAAACGCTCAAATTCGACAGATTACTGATTCAGGGCAGAATCTCTCGTTGCTTTGTGAAATTGAATAATTCCCTATTGTAGCGTAATTTGCTAAGACAATATAAAGAGGACTTAATCAAGAATCCTGTGGTTGTTCTTTGGTTGTCCTGTTAGAACAAGCAAGGAATTTTGTCTGCGTTCGGGCTCAGATCAGCAAAGAATTACACCTTTTGTTGTTCATTACAAGAAAATACGCATTCCTTAACATGAAAAGGTGAACAATTAGCGTGATGTTACATTCATTAGCGACGAAAAACGATTATTTGGGCGTAAATCAAATTAAATAACGATTTTTGCATTTTAACCAACGTTCAATAACAATTCTTGGCATTTTTATGCGTCATTCGTCAAATAAAAGAGAAAAATATATATTCATTTGCGCTAACATTCAAGTCATTAACATCATCTTGAAAGTCAATAGACATTACACAAATATTGCAGTGCATAAAACACTCATAAACACTTTTCTGGACGGCATTAGCATGAATAAGGGGATCTTAAATGCGCTTGAGCATTTTTACCTTCAATATGCAAGTATCGATTTCAAGTGAACACCTATTTTGCCTGAATTTACATTTCCAGTTACCTTTTCAAGGGAGAGTCACGCTTGGATTCAATCAATTTGCCATCAATAATGGTTTACGGTCAATTCACTACCAAAACAAGCTCGCCACCGAAAAACTCGCCACCACTCAAACTGAAATCACCACCAGTGGC